TCATTTGTCTCTCATAGTTGAGGTCTACCTATGAGTGCCAATTTACAGGCCTCTCTCATCTTTTTTAAGGGGAGAACTTGCACAATTGGTGGCTGAATAATACTTTTTTGCCCCACTGTACATCATGAATTTTTTTTACCGATCATTGTTTTCACTTTAGATGTGTAATATGAGAAACAGGAAAGGTGGTGAGGACAGAAAAATAAGCCGTTATACACATCCCATTATCCTTCATATCATGCGAAAGTGTGGCACGTTTCAAGATAATTGCTTCTGAATACAAAACTGCATGGCTGGATCCCTTTTATATTTTTCTCCCATTTCAGCAACAAATAGCCAAGAAGGTCAATGCATTTTTTATTTGCCAAGGAAAGACAATTATGATATTATTACTAAATCAGTGCTGCACTGTTATAATAAGGTTTAGACATCCGAGCTATAAATGGCACAGATAGGAATGCACTACATTTTCTTAAAGGGGGAAAGTGATCCAAAAATGTCATCTTAATGTAGCACCCTCCTAGTTAGCTAGGAGGAGCTAGCTTATTAGTTTTAGTTAGAAAGGCTGGAGTAGCAGCCTGGGCAATAGTCAGCTGGGGTCAAACTGGGGTCAGGGTGAGAGGCTCTGCAGATCAGTTCCTTGATACCTCCCCTGCTCTAGAATCTTGGAAGCAATGGGCTGGGGATGAGAAGGGGCTGGTCTGCACTCTTAAGAGATCCTTACCAATCCCCAAGCAGGAGGCTTGGCATGGGTTCAGGACAGCCTTTAAAAGTGGCTTAGCTTAGCCTGTTCAGTAGCAGGAGGGTTCTGGTGGAAGATGTAAGGAAGCTGAGATGCAGGAGCCTGGAGGGGGGCCCACTGGGATGGGTCCTACCTACAGGCAGGGCCCTGGAAAGAAGCACCTGTAGAGCCAGGAAAGGAGCCCCAGCCCAGCAGAAGGCCTCAAGGTAGCCACCTACCTAAATCTGAGTGAGTAGTCCTACACCCCCTGGGTCAGTTAAGGGAAAAAGAACACTCTGGTGAGAAGCCTGATTAGCTCCTTACTGAGGACTGTTTCATGTTAAAAGTGGTAGGCACTGGATTCCCCTTGCCCAGGGATTCCCTCAGGCAGCTGGATAAGAAGAGGATTATCTGGGATCTGGGGAGATACACCAGGAGAGGCTGGAGAGCTTTCCAAGAAGAGTTTCTGCTGTGGAAAGACTTGTACATAGTTGCTAAGGAGTTTGCCTCAGTTGCAGTTGCATTTTGGGCATCCCATATACCCCTTACCCCATCCAAGTTCAACACCCCTTAACCCCTTTGCGCCAGCGCCTCCTGGCCCTTTAAGAGGTTTCAGAAGCTGGGAGTTGCAGTTGCATTGGGCATCCCATATACCCCTTCCCCCTCCAAGTTCAACACCCCTTAACCCCTTTGCGCCAGTGCCTCCTGGCCCTTTAAGAGGTTTCAGAAGCTGGGAGGTGGAGCTGGGTTTAGAGTCATGTAACCGCCATGATTCGCTGTCACAGTGGTCACATGATCGGAAAAGGTCCCCGATCGCAAGGGGAGATCAGGACCGTTCCATGAGTCAAGGACATACAGTATGTGCTGGGAGCATGCAGGGCGCTCGCTCTCAGCACATATGTATTTTCAAATGGTACGCAAATATGCGGCCACTCGGCATCAAGACCCAGACACCTAGAGGCCTCATATTTGTGAGAGCGCTTGGCGTCTAGGGGTTAAAAAAACATAAAAACCAAGTTCAAGGGCTGTTTGCTGAGTTGACTGCAAATCTGTGGAAAATGCATGTTGCCTGGCTGTGAAGGACTATAGGGGGACCCAAATCTTCAGCAACTCCTAAAGGAGTAGTGCTACACATTCATTTTGGGTGGATGCTGAAAGGCTGAATTATTTACTGGCTATGTCACTCTTCCTTTCCGCAACTTCCTGGGACACATCACAGGTCCCAGGAGGCTGCGGGTTGATTTGCAAAATGCAGTGTGACTCACACATGTGCAATGGGGAGCAGCCTGTGAAGTCGCAAGAAGTCACAGCTAGTTCCCACGGTGAACATGATGGTGCGGGGGACCCAAAGACCAGTGAAGAACCAACCCGAGGGAGAACACTGATGGATCCCTGAACAGGTTAAAAGTCAGCTGCTACAGTATCTGTAGATGCTGACTTTGATTCTTTCAACCTGATTGAAGATCCTCTTTAAAAAGGTAAGTTCACATTTTCATGAAAAATTAAAAGTTGAGATAATACCAATATCCTGATCAACCCTCCACACTACTCCACACATAATGGCTGTGATGTCCCGTGCTGCCGGTGCAGCAGTCTATACACCGCAAATAATATATTGGAAGGTTGGGGGTGACCCTCGAGTGGTAGGAGGTCAGACCCCGATAGATAACAGAATGCCACGTCCCTGTATAGAATGTTGAGAGGAAGAATATGGAAATGGACTTTCTATGCACAGTGGCGGACTGACTATTTGGAAACTCGGGCACTGCCCGAGGGCCCGGGGTCAGTAGGGGGCCCCATGAGATGCCCCTGGTACCTTTTTCATAGGCTTTTTTGAGTTTGGGCAAGGACACAGGGGCCCCATGATCCCCTATTGCCCGGGGGCCCCATGAGTTGTCAGTCCACCCCTGGTAGCAAGTGGTGTTGAGTGTGGAGGTGTTGGAGCGGTTTTTGCAGCCATTGTGGACATTTTTAATCATGTCCCTGTATAGTATTTATGCCTTTAAAGTGCACTTTATAAAGAGTTTTGAACGGATAAAAGACTTTTTTTTTAACTTTTTTCTGACCTCCAGAACGGATTAATTGGTTTTCAATGCATTCCTATGGAAACCGCGTTTCGGTTTACAAACTTTTCGCAATACGAAACGTCCCGGAGAACGCATTAAATTCGTAAACTGAGGTACGCCTGTACTCAATATCATGTTCAGCCTTGAACCAGGGTATACCTTTAATATTTATTAACAACCAGAAAAATTGCCACAAGGCAAATGTAAATCAAAGCATAGCATAACAATAACAACAGCAACAACACACAATCATTAAAATCAATTAGAAACATGAATAGCAACAATTCCCCCCTCTAACTATATGTATAGTGAGTAATCAGTTATATGGATATATCCAGGGGCGGACTGACAACTCATGGGGCCCACGGGCAATAGGGGATCATGGGGCCCCTGTGTCCTTGCCCACACTCAAAAAAGCCTATGAAAAAGGTACCAGGGGCATCTCATGGGGCCCTCGGGCAGTGTTTCCAAATGGTCAGTCCGCCCCTGGATATATCATAAATACGCCAGCACATCAAGTAAGGGATAACTTTTATGCCCCCCGGTTGCTTAAATTCAGATCTCGTTGTATAAAGCCTACTAATGTGATTGTTATTTCTGTACTGTCACTGTACATTTTTTATTTTACCTTTTTCACACTGTCTGCTTTTTCTTCCTGTAATCCTGGAGATTTTTCTTTCCGTAAGAAAATTAAAAAAATTGTATTTATTGAGGCTAGGGATGAGGCTTTGGAATCACAGATTTCACAAATCCTCTAGAATTTTTTCTTTCTGTAATAAAAAAAAAAAAAAAGATATACAGAGTGTATGTGTATATGCGTATATGTGTGTGTGTGTGTGTGTGTGTGTGTGTATATATTATATATATATATATATATATATATATATTATATATATATATATATAAATAAATAATTTTCTTTCTTCTTTTTTTTTTCCAATGAGGATAGGGATCAGGTTCAGGATGTAGCAACTTCAAAATTCCTGGGAAATGTTCCTATTTTGCCTTCTGTAAAAAAAAACGAGAGAAAGAAAAGTATTTACTGAAGTTAGGGATGAAGTTCAGGATTCAACTTCACAAATCCTGGGAGTTATTTTATCCCTGGAAAAAAAGTATTTATTGAAGCTGGGGATGAGGTTCATGAATATATGTATATATATACAGTGCTCTGGAAAGGAAGACTTTTTAATCAGAGTCTGGCATCAAGTCAGTGAAACTCCAGGGATATTGATCTGGTCAGGTAAGTCACAGAGGGGGTTGTTAATCAGTTTTAGCTGCTTTGGTGTTAAAGAAAGAGACTTCTTGAGGGTGGCCTGGGGGCCCGCTGTCCTCTAGTGGGCCCTATGCTCACCTCTCAGCTCCATAAAGCTCGATTGGCATTTGCCATTGAACCCCAGAATTGGCAGGTCCGCCATTGGCACCATGTGCTTTTAACAGATGAGAGCAGGTTCACCCTGAGCACATGACAGACGTGAAAGGGTCTGGAGAAGCCGCGGAGAACGTTCTGCTGCCTGTAACCTGGTTCATCATGACCGTTTTGGTGGTGGGTCAGTGATGGTCTGGGGAGGCATATCCATGGAGGGACGCACAGAATTCTACAGGCTAGGCAATGGCACCCTGACTGCTATTAGGTATTGGGATGAAATCCTTGGACCCATTGTCAGACCCTACGCTGGTGCAGGTGGTCCTGGGTTCCTTCTGGTGCAGGGGGGTCCTGGGTTCCTCCTGGTGCATGACAATGCCCGGCCTCATGTGGGGAGAGTATGCAGGAGTTTGCGGTCATGCAAAATCAGCATTAGGGCATAATTCCAGACTTACAGTAGAAGAAAGACGCAATGAGCACAGTTACTATTAACTAGAGATGAGCGAAGTATTCAAAAATTTGATTCGACTGATTCGGCGAATTCGTGGAAAAATTTTGATTCGCGTCGAATATATTCGCTGCGAATTTAACTTATAAAAGGGTGTTTCTAGGCTTCAGAGAGCCTTTATATTAGTGCAGAACACTGTACCTTTAATTTAAATGCCCTTGGAGTCTGCTGGGGAAGAGAAATAATACTGACAGTCAGTATGACATGCAGATGAGTGCCGTCGATCTTAGAATCACCGCACACTTCACTCATTTGGGCAGTCACGGGGCCAAAACCAGAGTGTGGAGCCACAGTGTGGCGGTGGAGGCAGCAGCAATGGGAGGCCATACAGCACCCTATGACAAAAATGGAAACCACCAGCAGTGTGAGGAGACCTGAAAGTGGCACATGGCAGAGTGTGGCGATGGAGACAGCAGCAATGGGAGGCCGTACAGGGACCCATGACACACTCTGGACCTGGCAGCAGCATGAGGAGGCGGTACAGGGGCCCATGGCAGATTACGGGCCTGGCAGCAGCATGAGGAGTTGGTACGGGGGCCCATGGCAGATTACGGGCCTGGCAGCAGCATGAGGAGTCGGTACGGGGGCCCATGACACACTCTGGACCTGGCAGCAGCATGAGGAGGCGGTACAGGGGCGCATGACAGATTACGAGCCTGGCAGCAGCAACTTGGACAGGAGGACGTTCAGCTTCTGCACCGTCGGGTGCGTGCTCGCAAACTGTTGTCTCTTGGAAACGGATTCCAAGAAAGACTGCTGACGGAATCCGTGAAGAGGAGTAGCAGGAGAAGGAGCATCTGAACGAGCGCAATATGCCAACAAGCGACAACAGGGGCCCATGACAGAGTGTGTGGCGATGGAGACAGCAGCAATGGGAGGCCGTACAGGGACCCATGAGAGACTCTGGACCTGGCAGCAGCATGAGGAGGCGGTACAGGGGCCCATGGCAGATTAGGGGCCTGGGCAGCAGCTATGGGAGGCCCGTAATCTGCCAGCACCCTATGACAAAAAATGGAACACACCAGCAGTGTGAGGAGACCTGAAAGTGGCACATGGCAGAGTGTGGCGATGGAGACAGCAGCACAATGGGAGGCCGTACAGGGACCCATGAGAGACTGTTGGACCTGGCAGGAGCATGAGGAGGCGGTACTGGGGGGCCCATGGCAGATTAGGGGCCTGGGCCAGCAGCTATGGGGAGGCCCGTTAATCTGCCCAGCACCCTATGACAAAAAATGGAACACCAGCAGTGTGTGAGGAGACCTGAAAGTGGCACATGGCCAGAGTGTGGCGATGGAGACAGCAGCAATGGGAGGCCGTACAGGGGACCCATGAGAGACTTGGACCTGCAGCAGCAGATGAGGGAGGCGGGTACAGGGGCCCATGGCATGATTCAGGGGCCTGGCAGCAGCTATGGGAGAGGCGCCGTAATCTGCCAGCACCCTATGACAAAAAATGGAAACACACCAGCAGTGTGTGAGGAGACCTGAAAGTGGCACATGGCAGAGAGTGTGGCGATGGAGGACAGCAGCAATGGGAGGACGTACAGGGACCCATGAGAGTTCTCTGGACCTGGCAGCAGCATGAGGAGGCGGGTTACAGGGGCACCATGGCAGATTAGGGGCATCCTGTGGCAGCAGCTATGGGGAGGCCCCGTAATCTGCCAAGAGCACCCCTGTGAGGGCTCCCAGGTGTGACCAGAGATGTGTGACTGACGCAGGGATAACGCAGGACCTCAGATATGTTATTAAACAATATATTTATTAACATCTAACTAATACTAACATAAACGCTAGTGCTTATACTTAACATATTACAGTGCAATCAAACCAAACCCAAAACCACCCCAAGATAACCAGTACATACAAGCAAGCGGTCGTCAGGAAGGCGGGCTTTCAATATCAATAGGGCAGGTTGGTACAGGGGGAGCAAGCGGAGATTGGTCAGGGTTCACAAGCCGGGATCAGAAACAGGTAGCAAGCCAGCGTGGTACAGAGGACAGGACAGAGGATGGTCAGGAGCGATCCGGGGGATCAGAGCATGGAGAAGCGTCAGCAGTGGTTCAGAAACAGGATGCTGGACAGAAAACAGGATACTGGGCCCAGGACAAACACCACCACCAAGCAGAGTCTTTGGGTCTGGCCCATCCCTAAATACCCAGCCTTAAACAGTTCCAGGG